CATGTTCCAATGGCTTTCCTGTAGCGCTGAAAGCTTCTCTTTCTTCTATGTGCCTTGTCTTCAAATTTACTTTATTTAAAAAAATCTTTATTTATTATTTCCCCCTTAATGGAGGCACCAGGGATTGAGCCCAGGACCTCGCGCATGCCAAGCACGTCCTCTACCACTGAGCTATACTCCCAACTACATCTTCAAGTTTAAACGCATTCTTCCTTTTAACCCCTGAAACTGGGAGCTACCCGGGGCTCCTCTTGACCATGGGTGGGAAATCTGATCTAATCTGAGCCCACGGAGAAGCAAGGCTACCATCCCTAAAATGGTGTGCATTAATGTCCCTTTTTCTCCTTATCATTTTCTTTTCACCAAGACCTGCCAATGTATAAACACATCCCTCTGCACACATATTGTCACTAGTGGGTGTGGTGACAATCATACCCTGGAAGGTATGACAAGATAAATTTTGAAGTTCATGTGTTCTGCTGAAAGAAGAGAGACGGGAAATATCCCTTTAGATTATTCTTTTCTAAAAAAAATTATTTTCCCGCTAATTCCTTTTTATACTCTGGAAAAGACTATATGTAAAGATAAATGGCCTTTTCCCAGAATTCTTCATACACACACACACAATGGCACAATGGGTTCTGGAAGGACTGGACAATTTCAAAATACTTCATATTCATTTATTTAAATTCACCCTTTAGTTTTGGGGGATGAACAACTCATGCCAGTATTTTTCCCTCAAGTGCGAACACTTTTGGGGTGTTCTAAGGTAACAAAATCACACACGAACGCTACCTGGGTTATTTTCCTTAAACCTGCAATACAGTTTTAAAAACCACTTCTGACTTGCTGTGTTATTAGCTCTGGCCAAATTTGTTTTTTCTTTTACTGAACATGAAAATAAAAGGACTTGAATAAAAGTCCCAGAGGCAGTCTCCCGTGTGATATAAACAAATTATATAACCTGGCATAATTATTATCACAGTGGTTAAATGGAAAGTGACATTTGAAGCATGACAAGTTAAGAACAGACATTTCCTTTCTTATTGATTCTTAAATAGTTGACAAACTCGTGCGGTGTTTGGGCTTGCGAAGAATCAGTGGTAACTCGGCCCCTCCCTTAGCTGACAGTCAGTTCTGGACTTCTCACTCTTATTAACACAGTCCGTAACAAGGTCATCCCACTAACTTTAACACAATAAAAAAGAGT